TAGCGTGTGTAGTTTCATGAAGAACAGATGTGACGCGCGGCATGGCGTGCCAGATTAATTTTCCTATAACAGCGATGCACGAAGCTCGCATGGCACTCGGCAAGCAGGAGGAAGGAGTAGGAGGAGGAAGGAGTTGGAAGGAGTAGGAAGGAGGAGGAAGGAGGAGGAAGGAGTAGGAAGGAGTAAGGAGGAGGAAGGAGAAGGAGGAGTATGAGGAGGAGGAAGGAGGAAGGAGTAGGAGGAGGAAGGAGTAGGAAAGAGTAGGAGTAGGAAGGAGTAGGAAGGAGTAGGAAGGAGTAGGAGGAGGAAGGAGTAGGAGTAGGAAGGAGTAGGAGGAGGAAGGAATAGGAAGGAGTAGGAAGGAGTAGGAAGGAGTAGGAGGAGGAAGGAGTAGGAGGAGTAGGAAGGAGTAGGAGGAGGAAGGAGTAGGAAGGAGTAGGAAGGAGTAGGAAAGAGTAGGAGTAGGAGGAGTAGGAAGGAGTAGGAGGAGGAAGGAGTAGGAAGGAGTAGGAAAGAGTAGGAGTAGGAGGAGTAGGAAGGAGTAGGAAAGAGTAGGAAGAGTAGGAGGAGGAAGGAGTAGGAGGAGTAGGAAGGAGTAGGAAGGAGTAGGAGTAGGAAGGAGTAGGAAAGAGTAGGAGTAGGAGGAGTAGGAAGGAGTAGGAAGGAGTAGGAAGAGTAGGAGGAGGAAGGAGTAGGAGGAGTAGGAAGGAGTAGGAGGAGGAAGGAGTCGGAAAGAGTAGGAGGAGTAGGAAGGAGTAGGAAGGAATAGGAGGAGTAGGAAGGAGTAGGAGGAGGAAGGTATAGGAAGGAGTAGGAGGAGGAAGGAGTAGGAGGAGTAGGAAGGAGTAGGAGTAGGAGGAAGGAGTAGGAGGAGTAGGAAGGAGTAGGAGGAGGAAGGAGGAGGAGGGAGTAGGAAGGAGTAGGAGGCGGCCCCGGGCTGCCGGGAGCACACGCGACCTGCGTCCAGGTGCGGACGTTTCATCTCTCGCCGACCACGCAGCCCGCTTCCTGGCGTGCGTCCTTGTTCGCTTCCCCTTCGCCCTGCCACCAGGGATCTTTACTCCGTAAGCCGCTCCCTCGTGTCGACAACGGGGAACTGGGGACGGGGGGGCTTCTTCCATCACGGGGCCCCGCCCGAGTAGAGCGAGCTTCCCCTTTGTGTTCGTCTCCTGTTTACATGCCAGCCGGCGTTGACGCCTCTGGTCGCATGCGCGTTTTACCAGAATGGTTTTAGTGCAGCCACCGATGTCTCCCATTGTTGCGCGGCCGTTGGGTAAACAGATATGGAAAATGGTGTTAGAAAGAAAGAAAAAAAAACGTTTTGCCGACAACAAAAAATTGCGTGCCAAATGTTTATATTCTCATTTGCGAGAAATGTTCAATTTTGTAAAATGTCCCTTCCAAAATTGGTTCTCGAAAATAGCTTCTGAAGCTGGAGTGCAAAAAAAAACCGGAGGTTTCCGCTTGAAAACGTTGCAACAAATGAACGGGACGTTCAAATGTGACGTTGGTAGCGCCAAATCATCGGCAGGGAGAACGCAACGGAAGGAGGTGCAAGATGATGCGGCGGTTTTGTAAACGTGGAAAGGAACGCTCACAATGGTCGACCCTTGATGTACACAAATCCAATGCTGGATGAAGGCCTCCTCGGCGTCCTGTTCGTCACGAGGGTTGCTTAAGCACGTTCCAAGCACGCAGGCCAGCACGTGTGCACGTATGCTGAACTTCTTTCGCACCGTACATAGCCAGCCAACCGTGCTAATCGGAGGTGCGGGGCAAGGACAGGAAACTAACAAAAACAACCGATCAGCACCGGCCTGACTGGTCTTGAGAGCCTGGCACTCCAAAACCGTTTTAAGAGTAACAATAATAATATGATTGTTACATTCAAAGCGAAAATTGGCAGTGCACTTTGGCAACATGGTGCCTGCAAGTCTCTCCCCTTCAAAAAGCACGCAACTTGTGACTTTATATTTACTGCGTTTGTGCTGCTACTAGACTTGATTATTGTTTACCAGGCCCTTCTCAACACAGCACCAGAGTATAACCAATGCATCTTGGCAGACTTAGACGATCGCAGATCAAATCGGAACGTAACCATTAGCCTGCGCTCATGCATTAATAAACGGACTGAACATTTTCAAACACAATCCATTAATTAATTGCGGTTCACTTAAAAAAAAAACAAATAAACATGTTCGTGTTCTGAAATTTCTGAATTCAGTTCACAAACAGTGGAATATTTTTGTGTTTGGATAACCCGCAAGTTGGACACGTCACGTTCCATTTGTAACGCTGTACTGTAGGTGGTCACATTTAAGTTATTAAAACTCGTGTTGTGTCTGCTTTATGTCCCGATAACTCAATCGTACAGACTCCAGCATAAGAAATAGAGGCTGTAATGGGCATTCTCCGTATTCGGTATATTTTAATATTAATAACGTTTATGCATATACATTACAGACATGGAACTAAATAGTGTTGTGCTCGACGAGAGACCGAGCCAAAGTGATTTAACCTGAATGTTTTCACATGGCATTCATTTTAGGTAAATTTATCTTAAGTCAATTCATCCCGTGGAAGGAACTCTTTAGTTTCATTCGCTGTACACCGATACATTTTTATTAAAATCCTTGACTTTTATTCCACAATTTTCTTACGACATTAATTTACATATTTATATACAGTCACGTAAACGCACAACAAACCCTCAACACCAGAAACGTTTTACGATATATTGTAATTATTTTCTTTACAATAAGGCACTACGAAAATAAGTCTCTTGCATGCACAAGCCCCCTACGTTACACGATACACCAAGAGACGCCGAACCGCGAGGGGCCATGACATTTAAAGCAAACAAACGTTCAAATCCACGGTCCACGCTCAAATGTACAGAGGGTACGGGCAGCTTAGGATGTTTTACTCCACTCGACAAAATGAAAACAAGTAGTCGGGGATTTACGTGTGGACTCGACACACGGTTGGCTACGCACGGTGCGAAAGAAGTTCAACGCACGGACGGTGCGAAAAGAAGTTCATCCCTGCCTCTCCTGATACGTCTCTACAAAACAAAGGTGGCGCATATATATCCATTAACATCAGTCGTCACGTACTCGTACGCAATGTCGGCACGCGCTGCCACACAGGAACAAACACTCCGCATTGCGAATGTCCGTGAAGATAATTTTCTGAACGGGAGGTGTGGGATCAGCTGTTTGTGAATATTTACCCCCAACATGATTCTAACACGACTGGTTTTCTTCTGCGTCGACTGCCCAGACATGTTTGCATCGCGTGAAGATTTTACACGCAACCTTTCAGCAAAACTGCCGTATTCAATATAAAAAAACGGCACACAATTGCTTCTTAAAAATAAGTATCACATTCATAAATTAACGAGTAAATAAAACGCGTTCTTTTACTGGCGCAACAAAAAAAAACGAATTCACCAAATCAAACTTGTTGAGTCGTAACGAAGCCATCGTAAAGTGATTTGCTACACCGAGCGTGGTGAACGGGCGTGGGCATTTTTCTCTATTTTAGCACTCCTATCGTGTTTTTTTTTATTGTTTGCTGTTGTAACTTACTGAGCGGCCCCGGTACTGGACATTTGTGGAAAAAAAAAGAGCCTAATAGCTCATCGGATTCCTCCGAGCTAAATAAAGATTTCAGATTCTGAATCGAGCCAAGGTTTCGTTCGGCGAGAGATACCAAAAGACGTCGTTTGAACAGGAGCACAGCGGTGTCGTGTCTCTCTTCAGCAACGCCTTTTCAATACACGGGGCAAATGGTATTTAAAAGCGTCGTTCGACTCGCAGTCGCAATGGTATTGCAGTGCTGTGTGTTGTGCGCACGCTGCGCTCGAATGAGGCGAGCGACCAGAGACCCGGGCCCACAGTGCAACTCAACGTCTGCCGAGCCATGGGCAGCACGTGTGCCCTGTAGGGTGGCCGTGCGATCCCGTTGGGAAGAGGGCGCTTTGATGCCGGCTCTATTTTCACACTGCTGCAGCGACGACGCCAGTGCACTTATTTGTAAGTGCTGCTCCGTTAAAAAAAAATAACAACAATAATAATAAAAATATCAACCTACCCATAATTTACATACATATTCATGCTTACGCCATGCATTGCCTCACTGCAGTTTCCCACCAGAAGGATCATCTTCATCATCTCGGCAACAGGGAGATCCTAATCCTCGTAAGATTTCACGATGGAGCCATCTGGTAATTCAGCAACGGGGAGATTTTCTTCCAATACGGTTGTGACCCTGGCACAAGCGCAGTGTCAGGATTTTATTTTATATATGTTTTTTTTTTTAACAGCCAAACAAACACATGCTGCGCACGCTTCATTGTGGTTCCAAAGACCTCCATCGTGGAGCCGAAGTCACAATTTAACACAACAAAAAAGACCAAAGGGGGCATTTCTAAATTCTACTACTTTTTTTGTTCGTTGTCACTACAGGTTTATTCATCCTAACGTGTACCTGCTGAATCAGCAACTGCTTACCGTTCTACGTGCTGCATCTCGCGCTTTCAGATGCGCTTCTACGGCCGTCTGGAACGTTCTTCCAATATTACAAAGCCACTGGAGTTAAGCAATTTTTGAATCCAGACTGTAAACTCATTTCTTTAGAACTGAATTTTGTGTTTAGTTTGTTGTCCTTCCCCCTCACGTACGGTGCAAAAGAAGTTCACCAAACACACACACACACATACTCCACACTAAGCACAAACACCCGGCACACTACACACAAAATACAAACATATTCTTTGGTTCTTTCGGTAAAGTCACGTAGGTGGAAAAAATAATAATAATAATAATAATAAAAAATATATCACGACGTTTCGATTGCAACACAAGCAATCATCATCAGATGTGACAACCACAGCAATACATATATTTTTTACTGAAGTGGGCTGTCACACCTGATGATGATTGCTTGTGTTGCAATCTAAACGTCGTGATTTTTTATTTTTTTATTTTTTTTAAATAATTTTTTCCACCTACGTGACTTTACCGAAAGAACCAAAGAATATGAATCCTTGCAGTCACGAAAACTTCTAATCTGGAAAAAATACAAACACCCATGCGCTAAGGCACGCGCGCACACTCAGAAAGGTAGCGAATCCTTGAATAAGTTATCCACAAAGTCGGGCGTCTGCACGAGGTCTTCCATCTTGAGGTAGAAGATGCGCTGCAGGCCCATCATGCTCAGCGAGTGCAGGAGGCCCGGCTGACTCAAAAGCTGCCTCACCTTGGCCGGCCTCGCTCCCAGCGAGTCCAGGTGCTCGCGCAGGATGCGCTGCACCTTGTTCCTCAGCTCCTCCACCCGCTTGGGATGCCGTAGGCCACGTCGCTCTGCACGCAGGAGGCACGCGCGAGCATCACCGCGACGTGTTAAACCTCGTCCCGAAAAGACAAGCCGCCAAATTCGTCGCGTGTTTGTCATTCGTGTAAGGGCGGTACCGCTCACGTCTCGAGTGCTTTCACCCTCGCCCGATGAATCACAACAGCGAGAAGAAGAATTGTTTGATCTGCGTGCAGCGGCAACCGCTTGTCGCAGGTTGCGCCTCGAAACGCCTTGGACTTTTCGACGAGCGTGAAGCGCGCGCTACCACCGGCAAAAAAGGCAAAACCTGAGCGAGACCGCAGCGGTGCGGGAAGGCGGCCAGAAACCAGCAGCAGCAATTGCCCAAGCTCTGTAATCCTATATTGGAACGTTTGGCCAACTTTCACTCATGAGCGTTTAATGCGCCTGTCAATTACCAGGCTTCATTATATAAGTGTTACACAGCGACAAGCTGCAGTACACACACGATGGTGTGGCATTGCTGCCTCTCTCCCTACAAAATGCATCCACCCACAGCCCACTATGGTCACATTCAGACCCTATGTACATTTATATTGTGGCTTAAAGTCCTATTATTATTGCTACACATGAGCGACGTTTTAAACGTCGTAAATCCCAATCGTATATCGAGTCGTATTGCTACTATTAAACACGAGCGAAGTTTTAAACGTTACAAATCCAAATAATAGATTTTAAGTTTGTGTTTTTTTAAATTATTATTTTGCATGATTATTTTTAGACATACGCGCGCGCAGCGCATTGTTGTGACACGGGCGGCGGCGGCATTCAGAGCGTGACGGTTTAGACAACAAACACCAGGGCGGGAGCACTGCATCGTGCAAACAGGCGTACGGTGGAGGTGGAAACACAAAAAAACAAAACAACCCACTAGGCCGAATTGCGCCCAGCGCTCCGCCGGTGCCGTTCGCGCCTTTTCAGAGGCGTCCGCGCGACGCGCAGCGGCCACGCGACGCCAGAGACCGTACCGCCGAAGAGAACGGCCGCGGACAGGCAGGCCACGGTGGCGATGTCCGGCTCGAGCGCCTGCAGCGTGTCGGAGAAGCTCAGGATGCTGTAGAGCCACTCGCCAAACACGCGCACGCACTGGCTGAGGTGCAGCGCCAGGCCCGTGCAGAACACCAGGCGCTCCTCCTTCGGGTTGGACCTGCGCGAAGCATCCCCAAGAGAAGCCACCATTAATTAGTCCGCGGTGCCAGAACAGGAATGGTGGCAACAAAGGTAGCGAAACTGTAACGGCACTGATGTATTTACACGGGCAATTCAAGTCAATTCATTGATGGCCAACTCATTTCGAATCTTTATCGCGTAATTGGCTCTTGTTGTATGTGCGCACGTTGAATTTATTTCACACCGCGCGTAGCCAACCGTGCTGATCGGAGGTGCCCGCCATAGAGAAATTGGAACCCGGTGGAATGACATCACCCCAGGTGGTACCGGCAAGTGAAATGTCTGGCCTGGGCTCACGGACTAACTTGGGTAAGCAATCCCCATTAGTGCTGCTCTGACCTGGTGCTGTGTGTAATAGATGCCACTGAAGTCCTTGTACCACAAGTCAACATGTACGGGATATTGATTATGCAGATATATGTTGTGCACTCAACTCACTGTCGGAAGACAGTGAGCTCAAATGCCATCCGGAAATCCACTGAGGCGAGGAAGTAATAATAATAATAATCGTAGTGCCATTTATTTATCCAGGAAGGCCTCGCTGAGTCTTGAGACTCTTTCTTAGAAGGGCTCATACATTGGAATGTTTGGCCACATCTAGTGATGATAGTTTGGAAAAAATGGGGGAAAACACAGCCCCGCACTTCCAATTAGCACGGTCGGCTACGTACGGTGGGAAAGAAGTTCAACACACGAACAAATAAACTGTAAGGTGCAGCGTGTGGCGATGACCTAACTTCACATGGCGATAACCTTAATCGAGGTTTCTGGGTTAGATTGCATGAATATAAATGTGTCCGTTAAACTCGCCACCACCCGACACAGCCAATTAGTAAGGTTTGTCACGTAAACAAAACATGCCTGTTCGTTACTAGTACAGCACACCGGTGTGTTGGAGAGTAAACCCACCACGACATTTACAATTCGAGCACCGTGACGTTCCGCCGGTAATTACAACCAGCATCATCAGGCGACAGCCAGAGTTGTGGCCAAATCCTCCTCCTGTTTCGGTCTTAAATCGATGGATAAAATACGATGTCGTCTCACCTGTGGGTGAGCCAGTATGTGCCGCAGGCCAGAGGTGACCTACCTGTAGGCGAGCCTGAGCAGGAAGAGCTCCAGGTAGGAGGAGCTGAGCAGCAACTCGCGGTCGCAGCCCGGCAGCTCCTGGAAGCTGGGCAGGCGGGCGGCCCAGTCTCGCGAAACCTGCACGGAGCCCGAGAGCACCTCGTAGAAGTGGTGGACGTGCTCCGAGTCCAGGGGCACCTTGGAGCGCTCGCTCATCGGGTTCATCTGCGGGCGTGCCAACGCGGGCGTGCGATGGTGCGATGTTAAATCAGCGCCGCGACACCGTCCCCACCGTGCACCACCACCCACCCACCCCCGCCCCCCTCGCCATCATCACCATCACCGCTTAATATTCATACCGCACCTCTCATGCAGCACATTCCAATGTGCACTACAGAAAGGGGACCCCCCCCCCCTCCCCCCCTCGGCGGCAGCTGTCCCTGTGAGTCGCAAGTTGAATTGAGCACCGGGGCTATGTTGAAACTGTTACGTGGATTTCCAATGCAGTCGTTTGGAGTTATGTTGTTGAAAGGCATTGCGTTTAAATCTTGTCTCGTCATTCTGTTGGCCGTTGATAGCAAGAAGAGTAACATTTTGTTGCAATTCAAAACTGGTCGTACTGTGAGAACAGGACCTCACCGTTTCGCTCAGAATCGTGCTGATGACAATTGAACGCTGCACAACGAGTGCATTCATGTGGCCTCAACTTTGACTCTTCTTCAATACGCCAAAGGTGCAGCACGCAGCCGGCTTCATAAAAATTGTGAAATGCGCTTCTAATATCGCTACATTGCGGTAGTTACTGAGCAAATATTCTCGTGAACTGCCATGCTGCACCAATGGATGAACCAAGCCTGTTTATTCTCATCGCCTCAATAGAAAACACATGCGCCATGCAAAATAAAAAGTACACGGTTCTTTAGATTTGATATTCCTTAAATGTTTCATGCAGATAGAAAATCTTAGGTTCTCAAGGTTCAATTGGTCTAAATGTATCTGTGCTTCCTTGTAACAAATTATCTTTTATTCATGCCAATGTTCTTCTGCCACGAGCAGCATACAGCAGCGACAGCCTGGCAGGGAAGTGAGAAGGCTCTCAAGGTGGTTCTGCCAGTGCCGGTCCAGTCTGCGTAAGTCAGCAACTGCGAGAAACTCCGGCTCTCTTGTTGGTGCTCTTAGGGGGCCCAGGTACATATGAACCGAGCGCGGGGACCAATTCCCAGAATGTTTATCTTTAAAAAAAACAATCACCAAGCCGAGACAATCGAGATCCGCCCGTGCACGTGAACATTTTAATTTAGCAGATTAACCCGGGGGCTGGAACACAAAAAAAACCACATCGCGGAGACAATGGCTCAGAAACCTTAGACGTGCGTGTGCTTCTAAACCGCCAGGGCACTTCCCACCATTCTAAGCAAACGTTGACGACGTAAGGGCAGGACACGGCACGTGCCGTGTAGTCTGCGATCTGACCCAGAAGTTAATCATAAATTGTAATAGTAGTCGTGAAATGCTATGTGTTTACAATACATTCCCCTGTTTTTTTTAAATATTTCTGTGTCGGAACACACTGCCCCAAAGCTTTGCAAAGAACAAAAGCTGAGCAACGTGGGCAGCCTCTGTACGAGCACAAGTCACAGCGGAGGAATGTACAAGACAGCCATTTTTTGTATTTATATAAAGCATTGGTATCCCAGTGCAAAAAAAATTAAGTGGGTAACAGGACTGATGAAAATCGTTGAACTGCGATCGTATGTAATGCGGTAAACAATGGTCCTTATGGATAAATAGATTTCTGTTAGCATTTGTTCAAGGGATGCAAACACGGGTACCGACTTCAACTTCACTGAATATCAATAGATGGGTGAACCTTGTTTAATCACGCCACGGGGTGACCTTACACTGAGTAAAAGCCATCCACAAACACATCATATCTCAAGAGTGTGTTCCAGAAATATAAAAAAAACAGGGGAAGGTATTGTAAACACACAGCATTTCACGACTACTTATTACAATATATGATTAACTTCTGGGTCAGATGGTGTAGAGTGAAATGTGTGTCCTCCACCCTCTTTTCACCCGACACGGTCAATGAACAAAGCTGTCACGTGATGAACAAACGTGGCCAATTTTTACGCCCGCTTTGGCAGCACCGGCGCGGGTGGTGTTGGATAGAAATCCACGCGCACATTTTACTTCCAATATTAGGAAGCCACTGGAGCTGTGCACTTTAAATCTAGTTTGAAAACCAATTCATCTCGAACTGATTTTCGTGCTTTTTGTTTGTTGGCCTTCACCCCCCGCACCTCCGATTTGCACGGTCGGCTACGTACGGTGCGGAAGAGGTTCAACATACTGTACGTACGTACGTACATCTGAAGCCGAGTCAATTTAATTTTTACTTCAACACGTGGCGCCTCTCTGGCACAAATATTCCACCGAGAAGTGCCATTACATTAATACTTATGAACATAAAAAAACCTAATTTTTATACAGTGAGAACGAATATATATACTACGGAGAGTCGTCTTGCCAAATTATTAAAATGTTGTAGACCGCACTGCGACACGGCGATGTTTCTGAGGCAGTAATAAACCGGCACGCTTGTTCACGCGACAACTCTACTCACTGGCCGAGTCGTGCGGATGGACCGGCATTTGTTGAACTTTCTATTCTAAGCGTCAAGACGCCTGGCGCGGGAGAGCGGGAACGTTCGGCAACGAGGGCGGAGGCAAGCGGACAGGAGGGGGTATAAGAGAAAGAGAGGAAAACAAACAAACAAACGCAAGCAGCAAAGCGAGTCGCACACCTGTGAGAAGTCCAGCTGGGAAGTGGCCGGCCAGACCTCGACGTGCGCTTGCACCAGCTCCTGCAGGTAGCTGTCGTAGGGGGGCTGACGTGACGCGCCGGTCTCTGCCGTCGGCGCCGGGCCCTTCGGCTTGGAGGGCAGCCGGCCCCGCCTGCCCTTCAGGTTGTCCGTGCGCACCACTGCATCCCACACAGGTGGGTCTCCCGATTGTCATTCGCACAACAACAACAACAACAGCGGCGACGACGACAACAACAACAACAACAGCGCGTAGTAGTAACCCTTGCGCAGAGCGCGCCGTGAGAGTTCACGTCACATCGAATATCCTGCGGAGAGGCAACCGCTGCTCAACGCGTGTCAATAATATTTTTCAATTGAAACTGAAAGAATAAAAACCTGCGGGGTTTGCATTGACTCTGACAAAGGGCCCCGCAGAATGGCCAACGCCTGGGCATCGGCCCGATCCCTATCGATATTTACCTTCGGATGGCCAACGAGAAGCGTTTTGGCACTTTAATTGGTAAAAGTGAAAACGTTTAGGGACTTTATAAACATGTTAACCGCAGTGTTATTTGTAAATAATAATACAAACTCGACACCGTGCGTGCTGTGAAGACGGGCTATTGCCCGTCACGTCGCATATTATGTTTATTTTTTTTTATTTTTAAAAGCAGTGCAACTGAGCACTTTGTTGTTGTTGTTGTTTGTTGTTGTTAATTGTTGTCGGGCACCACTGGAAACGCCGCCGCCGCAGCAGCAGCAGCACCGCCAACGCGAGTTGTCTAAACCTCATCAAGCTACGGACCAAATCGCCGCACGAAAAATACCGCGGAACGTCGCGCGCACGTCAACCTGTCTAGCGGAGCACCCGAGGAAGAGGTGACGTGAACATTTCAAACAGGCGCGCGGAGCATTCCGGTCCATCGTGTGTGTGTGTGTATGTTGTACGTATGCATGTACGTATGTATGATGTGGAACCTCTTTCATACCGTACATAGCCAACCGTGCTAATTGGTTGTGCGGGGGAAGGACAACAACACTAAACGCAAAAAGCAGTTCTAAAGAACTCAGTTTTCAATGTTGTAGTGGTGTAGTGTACGGTGTAGTGTATAGTGTAGTGTATAGTAGTGTAGTGTATAGTAATGTATAGTTTAGTGTATAGAGTAGTGTATAGTAGTGTAGTGTATAGTAATGTATAGTTTAGTGTATAGAGTAGTGTATAGTAGTGTATTATGTATGTATTATGTTGAACTTCTTTCGCACCGTACATAGCCAACTGTGCCAATCAGAGTTGGGGGATAATGACAACAAACTAAACGCAACACAGAGCAGTTCTAAGGAAATTAGCTTTCTATCTTAATTTAAAAGTGCATAGCTCCGGTGGCTTCCTAGTATGGTAAGGAAGAGCGTTCCAGACGGCCGCATGAGTGCAACATGCCCCCACCCCCCCACCTTCTTTGATCATGCCCACGGTGAGGCACTTCTGGTAGCGGCAGTACTGGCAGCGGTTGCGCCGCCGCTTGTCCACGGGACAGTTCCTGTTGGCCAGGCACACGTACTTGGCGTCCTTCTGCACCGTCCTCTGTGAGCAGTCACAACATCGCGCACGCAGAGGGGAAGGGTCGAGAGGTCACCGTGGCCCACTGCGGACCGACGCCACCGCAAGACGCACGGACACCCGACCACCACCGTCTGTGAAAATGGAGTCCCACTCATCTGGCCCGATTTCCAACCTTCCGCTGATTTATTTTTACTACGTACCACCAGGTAAGGCCCACTGAGATCTCTGGCTCTTTTTCCAGAAGTGACCTGGTGCTCACAAATGATGGCCAAATAAAGTGGATTGTCACGTGGAAATTTATAGCAGCAGCCAAATAATAATAAAAAAATGTTTCTAAATGCAGAGGGAACAACCGGAGGACCCGGAGAAAAATCCACGCGACCATGGGGGACGAAACACGCAAACTCCAAATATATAGGTATATACCAAGCGAGGTAGTTCACATCTCGCCATCGCGGCCTGAAGACGACAAGCTATGTTTGCCACTCCAATACGTTGTGGATTACCTGCCACCCTACAAATACACACCAATCATCGCAAAGCTCCTGTTCCTAACGCCTCCAATTATTTAATGACGCGTATTTTTTCCTCTCTCCCAAATGTCAAGTTGCTTACCCTATCCCGCCGTTGACGTTAAAGTTAGAAATCTGTAATGCGCCGCACGTTTCAGAGGCACCGTGAATCACAGACGAGCGGGGAGACAGCCAGAATACGGTTCTACCAACAACTGCCCATGCTCCATCTCTGGCGCTACATTTGGGACATTGGACGAATTCCATTAACGAGTGGATTACATTTAAAATGCTCCTCGAAATACAGAATGAACGCACTGAATGATGCACGTTCCAACGGCCTGCGGCATCGCCACAACCACCATCACATTCACCGTTGGCAATTGCAGGACCGCATCGTGGTTGAAAGTTTGTGTTTCTAAAGAGTGTGGGTGCAGTTGTTTCTCATGACAGTCCAGAAACGTCCAACAGATGAAGTGGAACTGTGCGCGCGCTGAAATGACGCCCGCTCTAGCCGTCACGCCGGACGCCACTGTGGTCACAGGATTTGCCTAACTGCCACGAGATCATGGGTTCATATCCCAGTAGGGGTGTAAGGGTGCGTTACATTACTCAGGTTACGATGACGTAAATCGAATGACACGTTTTGCAATTTGCGTGTTTTTTTTGTTTGTTAAATATATATCTCGATTGGAATATATGATTTATGTAATGTGTTCACGTTGACCCATGTAGCCACTGCAGGCCGTTACATTCACTAGGATGGTAAAAAGAGAATCGATTCTTGAAGTCAATCACGAACCATGAATTGTGACAATTGATCAATTCACGAGTGGTGGAGGGGTGGGGGGGTGTGTTAATTGTTACAACCATGAAGGCCGGGTCAGAGTCAACTCAGCCATTCACCCCTTGGGGGAATGATAAAAATACGTGTCACTTTATGGGAAATCAACAACGGCTGTCCTGCAGAGAGATCGCCCCCGGAATGCGAAATTTTCACAACCGGCTGCCGACTCTGAGGATGAGCGGCTCAACCCCAGCGGGGAGGAGACACTCGCGGTTGTTGCAGAGCCTCGTCGTGCCAACTCGGGGTGGTAGGAGGAGGTTGCCTGCTCACCTTGAAGAAGCCCTTGCAGCCTTCGCAGGTGCGCACGCCGTAGTGCTGGCACGCCGCGTTGTCTCCGCACACGGCGCACATGCCCTCGGCCGCCGGCGGAGAGTCGCCCACCGGAGGCATCATCGTCGGCACGACCGACCGAGAGGAGCCGAGCCGGGGGACTCCTCTGCCAAAGTCTGGAGCGCAGGAATCTGGCAAATGCTGCTGCTGCTGCTGCAGATGCTGCCGCTCGATACCAAAGTCTCCACCGTCGTGGAACGGCCCGGCATAGTGGGCCGGTTCGTAGTGGCGCTGCGAAGCCGGGCTCGGGTGGAAGCCTGACATTTTGACGGCGGAGGGACATTCGGCGAGTGGCCGCATCCTGCCGAGGGTGTGCTCCAAGTGCGACAGGGCCATCGGGTACCCCGGCACGGCCCGTCCCACCGGCAGGGCGTCCATGCCGGGGTGAAGTCGCCTCTTGACCGGGGGCGATGCCTCCGGGTCTTGCAGGGGACCGGCGGGCTGGGGCGGTCCGTGGTCAGAGTCCGGCGGCATGGAGAATTTCGTCAAGAAGTGGGGGCGCCTCTCGGCCGCGATGGGCCTCACGAAGCCGTACCCCGGCATCCCTTGCCTGTAAAACGATTCCGAGTCGCCGGGATGGGGCGGCAGGTAGATCTTCATGCTCGGCGGGGAGGGGATGGTGCACGGCACGGGCAGCTGCTTGAAGCCCATCGTGTGCGGTGCCGGCTTCCTCTCCACGCTGGCGAGGTTGGTGAGGCTGTACTGGGCGTGCGAGCCGCTCTGTTCGTCCCACAGCGATGGCTGCAGCGAGTCGATGGACTCGGGCGTGGAGGGAGGAGACTGCTTGTAGAAGTCGATGGGGCTCAGGTCGCGGGCGAGGAAGCCGTGGACCATCGGCCGCTCCTCCTTCACGCCGTGGTAGGGGTGGTACGCGAAGTCGCCCACCTTGCCGTCGTAGTGGACGACCCCCGCGGGCGCGTCGGCGTTCGTCAGCTCCATGTTGAGCCTCACAAACTCGGGAGTGTCCATGAGTCGGGGACTCAGGTCCAGCGGCCGGGGGTCGCGAAGCGGTCCGGCGCTCGGCTCTCGTCCGCTCGGCGATCTGAGCACGTCCGCCGCCGCTGCGCTCATTTGTCGGTCGTTGCTTCGGGGTTCTGCGCGAGGGGGGAGAGAACGGCGCACGGGAGCGTGAGAAGCGTGCGTACACGCGCGCTTCTCACGCGTGTGTACGCTGAATTTTCTTTTTCGCACCGTACGTAGCCAACCGCGCTAATCGGAGGTGCGGATGGAAGGACACCAAACTAAACGCGAAAAAAGTAGTTCTGAAGAAATTCGTTTTCAATCTGACGCTCAAGCAATGACTCGGTTGTAAATTTGCACTTTGGTGGCGCTTATTTCCCCCAACCCCCCCCCCCCCCCCCACCGAACATGCACGCACAGGCAAGCACGCACCTATTCTGCCGATCGTTTAAACCATTATCTACGACACGGCGACGGTGTTCGGAGAGCACGCAGCCCCGTCACCAACGGTCCAGCCGGCCGATCTCTCTTTTAGTAAATTCGACACAAAAATAAAAAATAAACTTGGAGCGCGGCAAATGTTTTTTCTTTTTAAAGTTTTTTTTTTTTCCGTCGGTTGCCCCACGAGCCCGTGTTTTAATATCGCGCGCGGACGTCACCTGGGCGGTCCGCCTTTTTTCCTCGAGGCTCTCGGTCAATTGTTTACGGAGCCAAACACGCTGCCGTCACCTTGGCAGCCGGCCACAGAGAGCCAAGAGTGTCCACGCGACGCTCTTTGGGGGCTACGGTACCCGGGACAGCTTTCGCCGGGCGTCGGTTTAAACAAAATATATATTGCGACGATTCTTTTTTTTAATTACCAAGTAAAGCCCCACTGAGCTATAGAGAGCTCTTTTTCATAAGCGGCCTGGGCCATCACAAATGACAGCTCAACGAAGTGACTCATCATCGCGCGGCAATTTAAAGCAGCCAAATACTCTAAACGCATGATGTTGATTTGAAACTGGGAGAAGCCGGAAGAAAAAAAATCCACGCGATCACGAGGAGAGCGTGCAAACTCCAAATATACAACAGGCGTCAGGGTCAGAATTGAACCCACGACGTCCTGCACACCAGGCGAGGTAATTAACATCTCGCCATCACTAGATGGCTACATACCCACGAGAAACATTCTGTCGTGCAATTTGTGTCCTCGTTCAAGCACGCTGCGGATGCCCTTTATATATTCTCGTCAAGGACCGTGAACCATCACGTGAACTGCGGTCATCCTCGCAACGACGGCTTTCGGCTTGCCGTCAAACAAAGAGGGGTCAGCGCGGTGCTTTCAGGTGCGCTCCTGTGGCCGTCTGGAACGCTCTTCCTTCAGATATTAGCAAGCCACTGGAGCTGTACACTTTTAAATCTAGATCGAAAACTCATTTTAAAGAAGTTACTTCTTGCGTTTTGCGTTTAGTTTGTTGTTCTTGTTTAGTTTGTTGTTCTTGTTCTTGTCCCGCACCTCCGATTAGCACGGTTGGCTACATACGGTGCGAAAGAAGTTCCACATAAAGTATGTATGTGCATACATAGAGCATATGATATAGCAATATGATTAATATAATATATGTAATAAATTATATGGATATATAAAGTGTTTTTTTATATGGTTCCACACTAGGAAAAGTTGTTGACTGACAATTCCAATGCTGTAGCCTAATATTTATTTCATAAACATTTGATTGCTTTGTTCAATCGCTATTAATGTGGCTTTTATTAGCTATTCGCATTCTCTCGGGAATAGTGGTGCACCACATCTCTAATTCAACACATAGTTCTGCGTCGATCTAGGACCCGTATCTAACAGAGAGGGTTCACCAGGATTGGCGTCAAGCGAGCGAGATTCTGCCGATGAGACTGAATGCCGAAACCAGTCCAGAGTTCGCTTGCATTAAGACTAACGGTGCTGGGGGAAAAAAAGTCACCCCCAGAAAGCCACATGGCCCATGGGATGCGTAAAATAATAAAACATAAAAACAATGTACGTGGTGAGACAGATATGGGAAGGTGGGATATTGTTGTCTGCGTTTTTTTTGTTTTGTTGCTGATACTCTCCATAACGACGGTTAGTTATTTCGTGATAAGAGGTGGCCATGAGATGGAAAAACACAGCAAGTAGTTTGGCATCTTCGCTCGAAGAAATATCGTGCGTTTGTTGATCTGTTACGTCGGTGGTGGGAGCTGAATGCTACATCAGTAGGCATCAAGATGGTTTGATCGGAACGATATTGAACCTCTCGCTCTAAATGAATACAAATCCACAAATTATACGGGTGTTCATCTGCTTCCCTTCGTTTCATTGAACAAGAATGAACGTCTGTTTTAAATAAGTTAAAATTACGAAAGTAACGTGGAAAAATAATTTGCGTACAGCGAAAATGTATGTGTTAAAAAAACACCGGACATTTCAAATTGTACTCTGCAATGCAACGGAGGGGCTACGTTAATTATAAATGTAACTTGCGATCAATATTCAAATTAAAACCAATTGCTGTGAATTATTAAATATAACAGTGCAGAATCCGGTTGCATCCTGTGACATTTAAAGTACGTCTGTTGAGAGCCTTTGCGAGGATTCCGAACGGAAATATTTGAGTGGAGTTTTCAGACTAAACACCACGGCTGTCCCCAGACTAATTTCCAAACCTTGTGAAAATTTACTAAGAAAAAAAACACAAAATAACGGAACAGAAAATACATGCAAAATAAGATATTTTTTTTTAAATATATGTATGGAAAAACTGTTGTTGAGCCAGTGCCGTGAAGCAAACTATTTGGCACTATATTGAATACACTATGACACGATATTGAAGCCAATGTAATATGTCTCTTTAGTTTGATTATGCATTGTAATTATAGTAAACATACAATTATCCTTTGATTTAAAGCTTTCGTGACTGCAGGGATTCATATTCTTGGTTCTTTCGGTAAAGTCACGTAGAAGGGAAACGATAAAATAATAAAAATATAAAACAATAAAATTCTCACGACGTTTCGACTGCAACACAAGCAATCATCATCATGATGTTTTATATTTTTATTATTTTATTGTTTCCCGTCTACGTGACTAAACCGAAATAATCAAGAATATACAATTATCCATTCAAACTCACTGGCACGCAGAAGCTGAGTCGATCGAGTTAAAGAAACAACCAAATTCTCTGCTTTTTTGTTGTGTTTAGTATTGTTGTCCTTCCCACGCACCTCCGATTAGCACGGTTGGCTACGTACGGTGGGAAAGAAGTTCAACATACAAGGTTGCAGTGGCACTTCCCTCCCAGTTCTCTTCGACATTCCTGCATGTGTGTGTGTGTGTGTCGGTGGGTCTGTTTGTAAGCTTTATAACGATATTACAACTGCACAGTTGCCCAACGCGGTGTTGAGGTTGTACCAGAGTCTCAGCTGAATACAACTTCGGAGGGCCAGACAGCGCAGCCGCAAGAACCTCCGATTTCAGCACTAGTGTCACATACATGTAACTCGTGAGATGCTGGTATTTCTGATGTCATCTGGACTCGCTTCTCTACGGCAATATCTGCGTGTTTTTTTTTGTTTAGTTTCATTGAAAAAAGCATGCTCTACAATTTATTTATTTTATTTCATTATCATTGCACTCTTTGGTTCTTTCGGTAAAGTCCCGTAGGCAGAAATAAAATAAATCACGACGTTTCGAACGCCACACAAGCGCCCGTCTTCAGGTGAAAATCGCGACAGTTCCGGTGTCTGCTGCGAGCAGCAACGATATCTGCTTCCTCGTGATTTATTTGATTTTATTTCTACCTACGTGACTTTACCGAAAGAACCAAAAAAAGTATGGATTCCTGCGGTCACGAAAGCTTCAAATCAAGATTCATTATCATCATCATCATCGATAATAATAACCTCAAGACAGTGCCGTGTAAATGGTAGATGAAAGCCTCCTCGTGCTACGTTTGGCGTGACAGATGGTTGGCCATACTTCATCACGCTTGTGAGCTGCGGGTCGGGAGTTGAACTCTTACCCCAGGGTTCATAAGCCCGGCGCGATGCTTGCGACAGCACCGCTTAACCGAGACGGCGATGCGTCTATACAGAGGTGGCGGCACGTAGGGCTTTGCGGGGCTGTAGCTCGCACGCATTGACGAAGGAGCACAACAGGTCTGCGTTTCGCCTTTCCCAAGCCGCAACCACAAATGCCGCACACGCACGCGAGCCCACGCGTACGTGTGCGGCGATACGTGTAAAATATTTGCGTTAACTAACTGCAAAAAAGTTACTTCTTTCAGATGTATGATTTTCTGCACGCACATAGATATTGGCGCAGAGGACTAAATGTTACCGGAGATGTGGACTGTTGAAGGAGAATGACTTGAACTGAGCAGATATGGCGAAGGACAGGTTTGAGATACAGGTCAATCACGGGTGACTATTGGACGCGTAAAGAGTACAGAGGGCACGTGTACTATGTCCACCTTCGGCTAGCACGGTTGGCTACGCACGATGCAATAGAAGTTCAACATACATACTGGCCTAGCCCAGTGTCACCAAAGCCAATACGATATCACGAGCATTCGTGGTTGCAATTTACGAAACACATTCAGTGGCAATTGTTGTAACTTTAATGAATATATTTTCATACTCTAACTTTTAAAAAGAATAATTACTTATTCCACACGTCTATAATGATATAGCCGTTGGCATATTCCTTTATGTAAATCCATCGTGTAATCTAGCTTGTAAGATGAATTTGAAGTGACGGCTTGGATTAGTAATATAATCGGCAAAATTGTAATAAAAGAGTGTTTAAATTGACTATGGTGATGCGTTTTGCGTCTTATAATTAAGAAAAATTATATTGTATATACTTGCATACTTTCGACATCATGTTAACCTAAATGAATTCATGCCATTTAAATGCGGTATACACATCTAATGTAATGAGAAAACAAGAGACTGAATTGAATGTTGTGCCTGGGGATAATACGCATGTATGTTGAACTTCTTTCGCACCGTACGTAGCCAACTGCACTAATCGGAGGTGCGGGGAAAGGACAACAAACTAAACACACACGCGCACAAAAACGCAGTTGTAAAGAAATTCGTTTTTCAATTTATATGTGAAAGTGCATAGCTCCAGTGACGTCCTAATATCGGAAGGGAGAGCGTTCCAGACGGCCGCGGAAGCGCGTCTGGAAACGCCGCGCGACGCGGTGGCCACCGCCTTTGTTCGATGGTCACGGCCAAAAGTCGCTGCTGCTGCTGCTGCTGCGAGGTGCACTAAGCTAGGCGGAGACAGCGCTTCGATTGCACTTCACAGCGATTTTGAAGAATCGCACGCAACTGGGAGGAGGAAGAGGAGCGTCCGATGCGACGTTCGTAAGTGAATATTTCGTGGACAGAGCTGCACGGCGGGAGGAATTCCACGATCGCCGATGCTCTTTGAGAAAAAGACACGGCCCAGAGTGAGTGATGGAGAGACACGCACACGCTGCTGGCGACGGTGTTATTGATTAATCTACATCTCGTGTTATCAGAGGGTTCGTATATAGAGCACGTGAGTTGGTCAATATCGGTCACGTCTAAAAAAACAAAAAAAAATATTACAAGTTAACACCGCATTGTTTCGGCAACACCTTGCAACAACAAGAAAAACCCCTTCAGCTCAATCAAAGGCTCTAGAGTTCTGGTATTTTTTTTTACTACGACTAAGATTTATGAAAGATAACTCTTACGCAGTAACTCAACAAGGGCAAGTCACGCAGCAGTCATCACGTAAGCGCAACCACGTGGCAGCGTGGATTCCCTCGGCTACTACACGGCTTCAAATGCCCTGCTGATGTTTCCCCGAGTACAATAACAATTCTTCATAATGTGTATAATCTCGGTGTAAGCCTGCCTCGCGTGCACACAGGCACTGCTCGCTTGCTTGCGCACAGAGGGTTGTCCCGGGGTTCTGATGGGTACGTCCGATATCGAAACAGTTGGAGGTAAGGTTTTGACATGAAGACCGAATTGTTGTGCGCTACGAGTCCGGTCGACCTGGAGGGGGTGGCGGGGGGGGGGGGGGGTCGATTCCCGGTTCGCAGCCAACACCGGAGACGATTAACCTGAACCGGTTCTTGGGCCTCCCCTAGGCCGACTCATCCTTAAATTGGTACCAGGGAGACAAAGGTGGCCGGGCGTGGTGCTGGCTACCCACCCCTTCGTGTGCCGTGCCGGCCTTCGTCGTTGCTGCTCGCTAACAGCACTTGCCCCTACAGTCCGTTAAGACTATACGGGGGATCTGTGTCTTTGTGTGTGACACGAGGAGGCTCGTCTATGTCACTGTTTTTTGGGACAGCGTGTCCGGGCACAGGCCAAATCGCTGCGCTTCGAGAGGATGGGACCCAGCCGTGCATCAACCAACGCAACACGTCTCGAAACAAGTTGACCGGTTTTTTTTAATCAAAAGGTGATTATTACATTTTTCGATTTAAAGCTTTCGTGACTGCAAGGATTCATCTTCTTTGGTTCTTTCGGTAAAGGTGCCTCACTTCTCTCAACCAGTTTAAAAAGACGTTACGAATCTTAGCAGCGCTCATTAAAGCTCTGTCGTCCCGACGGTTCTGTTCCTTCACCTGAAGAAGGCTACTTGTGTTGTGGCCGAAACGTCGTGAGAATTTTATTGTTTTATTTTATTATTTTATTCTCATTCTACGTGACTTTACCGAAAGAACCAAAGAAAGTTATTATTACAATTAAAGGCATTTCAGAAGTTTCGCCTCTATCAATATAGATACACGTATATACAAACTTGGATCTGTGCAGAACTCTTATAGTTTGTCTTTGGAAGCTAACCCCCCTTTTCCTGAAGACGACCGCTTGTGTTGCGATCGAAACGTCGTAGCTTTTTGTTATTGTCTTTGAACCTATCTACGTGACTTTACCGAAAGACCCAAAGAATATGACGTCCTGCAGTCACGAAAGCTTTAAGTCAAGATTTAACTCTTGGACACTGTATGGTTATTGGTCTGTATCACGGTGGCCACCCCTTCCGTAAACATGAAATAATATATTACTACGATGCAGTATAACCTTTTCTTAAAATGTAGAATAGCGTTGTATTTATTTGAATGTTTTATTTTATTCTTTCACGCAAGCTAACGTTCACAAGTAATGCCACGCAATGAGGAGGCATCGTCACAAAGCGCTCCTCCTGACGCAATCATCGACCAACCTCGACCTCACGTCACAGCTGTCGCTGGACAGCAACGTCATAAGAATACTTGATGAGGCTGAAATAATATTTCCTTAGAGGTATACAACTAATACTGTTGAGTTCGCTAGGTAAAGCCCACTGAGCTATTTGCTCTTTTTTCAGAGGCGATGTTATCTCATGTAAGTGGCAGATGCCATCACGCGTGGGGACTTTATAGCAGCAAGCCAAGATCATCTAAACATGTGTTTCTAAACGTGGAGGGAAAAAACAGGGAGGCAACCCCGAGGTAAATCCACGCACAGCACTGGGGCGAGAGAGAACAGGCAAAAGACCAGACACATTCACAAACAGGCATCGGTCAGCGTCCTGGGATCGAACCCACGCGCTCCTGCGTACCAGGCGAAGTAGCTCGCACCTCCTCCCCACACCGCAGCGCCACCCGACGTACCTTCGCTACAAGCGTGGATCTTTAAAGACACTTCGCCAGGGAAGGGTCCCTCCCTTCACGCGCGGCCGCTAAATCCCACGGCGCGGAATCCCCGCGCGCGACACATCGTAAATAATGAGCCCGTACCTGTCGCGCGCGTCCACCGCTGATATACCGGGAGCGTCGTTCCGTCGCTGCCAATGAGCGAGCCGCGCTCCCGTGGGCCACGGGCGTCACACGGCCACCCCACCCCCCCGCGCGCACATTCACGCCCACAATACCCCACCACCCACCCATCCCACTCGTCCACTGGGGGGCCGGCCCAATCGGTCGGCACCACCTCCGCCGCCGCCGCCACCCGTGCCGACGCGGAGTGCGCGCCACCAAACGCCCGGTGGCCCGCGATGGGGGAACCCTCGTTACTTCGATGTCCGCGCAAGCATTATGGAGGCATTGATATGCTAAGGGGGGGGGCAGGAGGGGAGGCGGTATAGCCCGCACCCCGAGCCAACCCCTCCACCGCTCCCCCCGCTACCCACCCACAAGGATAAAGAGCCCCCGTATAGCCTTTAGCGGACTGTTGGGGCAAGTGCTGCCGTTAAAGCGAGCACATATAAAGGCCGACGCGGCACACGGATGAGACGTGCTTCTGGAGGCCAAAACCACGACCTGCCGGCCGCCTTTGTCTCCCCCAGTAGCGATGTTTATTTATACACATCATATCAGGTACTCATTTAAGGCTGAGTCGCTACTAGGAGGGGAGGGGGGGGGTCACGCCCGTGACCGGTTCAGATAATCGTCACCTATGGTGGCCGTGAGCAGAAATTTAACTCGGTTCACCCCGGGGTCCATAACACGGTGCGCTAACCACTAGACCCCTCCCCGCCCACACACTCACACGATCAGTGCTCGTTAGAAGGGGGTCTCTGCGCTAGGGGCGTGGAGCCGGGATAATTATTATTACAATGGGGGCTTGCTCTTACGGTAATCGATGTTTGCCCGATGGCATTGGCGCCGTTCCACCTCTGTGTCTTTGTCCCCCCCCACGCGGGCACCGTCGTGCAATGCGGTGTCCACGTTCATCCTCTACCACACGCACCACCACCATCATCATCATCTCGACTGGAGCGGCTTCATTGACCGCGCGCTGCGCATGACAAACGGACAAAGCGTCTCGACCCCGTAGCTCGAAATGCAAAAAGGAACGTCCTTGGCATTTCCACGCCGCCGCTGTTGCCACTGCTGCTGCTACCTCGAATGCCGGCGTAATGAATGTACCTGTGGAGGTTAAAGAAGCCCCCCTGAACCGCTGGCGACGAGACCGTGAGATGGTTGTCGCTTAGCTGTAGTTGCCCCCGATACAATCTGCACAATGAGCTCTTTGTATATGCGAGACTCTCTTTAAGTGGTTTCTGTAAAAAAAAAGATGAAGCCAACAATAGAGCGATGATGTTTTCATGTCATGATCTGCAGTGAGTCAGGGCCGAACGCGTCGATGGAATCATGAATGCGCCTTCCTTTTACACTTTTGTTGGTGCATACCGTAATGTAAATGTATATTTATATTTTTTTAAAAATGCTTATAGCATTCAACAAATGCTGCTGAAATGGTTTGGGTACAGCAAACAGCGTGCATTTACATATCCTCGCGAAAGCCAATCTCAACTTATTATTTAAGAGTTTAGATTCGTCTGGTATACATTACGGTAACTTTAGACGAATTAAAACCACTTAAAGCAATGCAACATATAGCACCACGAGCACTAATCCTAGGTATTAAGAGCTACATTTTAACTTTCAGCATGTTCCTTACAAAACAAAACAAAAAAACAGGCGTGGCTAGATATACGCACTCAAGCAATAATTGCACGGCGCCGACATTCTATAAATACACACCCACAACACGTACACAGACACACAACAACAGCATCGTGATAACCAGCACGTGCGCGCGCGCGCAAGCTCGCGCGTGTGCGTCCACGAACGCGCGCACATATCAGGTTTAACCTGAGCGACGGCTCCCCGTCCCCTCCTCTCTCTCTCTGTGAGACGCGTGAGGCAATCACTGAGAAATCTGCCTCGGGTGCGCGCATCTTCCCTCCTCGCCGCGCGTCACGAAGGCAGCGGCGGCGGCAATCGGTAGGCGCGGATGTCGCCGCGGATTTTTTTTTAAAATAAACATATTTGTTTGGGCGGCGCAGCCACGGGGCTGTGAGAGAGGCGTGGCGCGGCGCTCGTGCGTTGAACTTCTTTCTCGCCGCACGTGGCCAAACCGTGCTGATCGGAGGCGTGTTCCGTACGTGGAGCCTCGGCGAGACAACGGGGTTGTGCGTGCGTGCGTGCAAAAAGGCCAGCAGGGAGCGCGGGGCTTAGAACTCTCGGGATGTCACGCCGGGCCGGGGATCGGACCATTCGTGGACACCTACGCCGTAGCGCCCGCCCGCCGGCCCCTGTCACCTTCACCATCATCATCATGTGTTTGTATTTCGATTTATAGCTTTCGTGACTGCGGGGCTTCATATTAATACTTGGTTCTTTCGGTAAATTCACGTACAAGGGAAATAATACAAATGAAATTAATAAATACAAATATTTCCCTTCTACGTGACTTTACCGATCGAGCCAAGAATGTGTCTGTATGTTGAACTTCATTCGCACCGTACGTAGCCAACCGCGCTAATCGGAGGTGCGGGGCAAGGGCGACAAACTAAACACACAAAAAACGGTTCTAAAGAAATTAGTTTTTAATCTGGATTTAAAATTACACAGCTCCCCAGTGGCTTCCTAATATCGGAACGAAGAGCGTTCCAGACGGCCGCAGAAGCGCATCTGAGAGCGCGCGACGCGGTGACCGTCTTTGTTCGATAGCCAGCCAGAAGTCGCTGCTGCTGCTGCTGCGAGGATGACCGTGAGAGTTCGCGTGACCCCGCACACCGTAATCCACTGAGATCGATGTTCATGGACGCAGCCTGCCGAGTGATTGGATGCGACTTCACGACGTGTAATTGTCTCAAGTATAACAATGATAATGATGATAATAATTTCAACTTGCAGCGACGCGCGGCACAGTATTCGCTCGCTGTCGTTGAAGGAGGACCGGACTCGGAGGGGTGGGCGAGGAAGAACCACAGACAGCAGCCTCGCGATAAACCGGTGCCCAACAATTGTCCAAGCTCTGCGATCCTCGATATATTGAGGTGCTATCGGGCGATTAATGAGCGTTGAATTAATAACCTGTAGCCTCAGTCCTGGGGGGATCAAAGCCATTGCCGTATGTCGATGAAGGGCAGTGGTAGCACTCAACAATACCACACCTCGCTGCTAAACAGAGTCTGCAATATAGTTAACCGCTGAACTGTGTGTACACCGTACTGTAAATGTATATGCGCATACAATGTACACTGTGCATAATTTGATCATCGTAATAAAATGTAAGTACAGTGGTGGGAGATGAGCTAAGATCAGATATTACTTCCCCACTCACTGATGGTGGCCATGGCCAGGAATCAAACCCAGGTGGCCAGGTTCACAGCGCAACAGAGCACTAACCACGGTGCCACCACCATTCCACCCCATATAGAGTACACACTGTCTGATACATTCCTGGCGAAGTACGGCTAAACGAACCTCCCCCCCCCCCCCCAATGAGCAGCAGAGTGTGGAGAGGCTCTCATCCAGCAGTGGATTGAGAATGGGCAGTACATTTTATATTTTACTATTATTGACGTAAAATTCCCAGTTCACATTTGTACAGAAAAAAAACACCCGTCAATATTAATGAGACTAATGTATTATTGCCGAGCGAATTATACGCACGGATACGTAATGCTTTGACGAAGGCTATTCTGTGTTTTAGCATCTGAGTAATTTTTTAAGTCGAGTGGCGCAACTTAAGAGTTCACAAAGGGCATTTCTCAACGCAAGATGTCAGAGCCTGAACCTGTCAACTTCCAACAATGTGTGGAGTACGGTAGGGAGTTTTTTGTTTTTGTTTTAACACGTAGGCTTCGGCGACCAATATCATCCATAATAGAGGTTTTTTAGGTTAGACCCCCCACTTTGTGGAAGAGCACAGAAGTGGGGTCACCACATCTACGCCTCTATACAAGGACAGAAACACGTGGACTTCTCCACAAATCTGGCTGTCGCCTGATGAAGTTAGTTGTAATTACTGGCGAAACGTCGTACTCAGATTATTAATGTTGTGGCTTAGCTCTCCAACACACCGGTGTGCTGTACTCAAATTCATCGACGACACAGACGTACGTACATAATAGAGTTTCATTTTTTACTAGTTGGCTGTGTCGGGTGGTGGCGGGTTTTAACGACACATTTATATATTTACGCGATCTAACCCAAAAAAAACCTCTTATGGACTGTACGGAGTTTTTAGAAGAAGAGATTAGATAAACCCGAGCACACAATTGTAACGTGCAAATAACAAGAGGACACAAAATTCGCTGTCGTTTAGTATTTCCATTTTTGGTTTTCGCTAATAATATTTTTTTTCTATACAGAGAACATAAGCGTATTCTGTTTGTTACAATATTTTTTTGTTGAAAAGTTTATATGAAAACGGATGGGGATTTTTTCCGTATAATTTCTGTTCCGTAATACATTTTCCCTGTTAATACACCGCATCACTCCTTTCACGTGTAATGGCATTGTTCACGACGGAGGCTGTAAATGTCCATTTGAAATTCAACGTCTTTATTCTGCATCGCGCATTGAAGTGCGTGTGTGTATGTATGTGAGCCGTGCATTAAAATAAAAAACCGATGACAATAATACAAACACATAGAAATGAGCCATGCTTTGTGAGGTCGGTGTTGTCAAAGTGGATATTTGTCATGCGGCGCTGCTCAAATTGCGAATTCGTGGCTTGATGAAGCTCACAACCGTTTTGGGTAGAAGCACGGTCGTACGTTCATTGTTGAATTCAGTCGTGAACGGTGTTAAATCGCTGGTGGAGGAGGTCTTATCGGTCAGAATTTGATCGGTACATTGGCCACTGGCAAATTATGTCTTTGTAAACGTGACAAGTCTTGTCAGCTTGTGGAGAGTTAATTGAGATGATTTTAATGAACATTCAGAATATTTATTTATTCTGGAGGAATCGCATGAGCTATAAAGCTCTTTTTGTGCACAGGTGTCCGGTGGAGTCACCGGGGTCAGTACGCGACAACGCCAAGCAAACAATCTAAAACTACC